AAATCACCCTTGAGGGACAACATTTTAAATGCGGTAGAAAATAAAAAATCCAATACAAATCATCATTTATAAATTTTAGGAGAGTCTCAAGCTACTTCAATTTTTTTTTTTAAATATACAGATAGGATGGTCTTAAACATGCACAAGCTGGACAAAACATATATTTGAGCCACCCTTGAGTATACAAATCAGATCTTATTTTGATAATAGTGGCCTTAATCATGATTTTCGGAAACAGATTAGAAACATCTGATCATGTCATCAAAGTTAAATTGAACTCATCAATATTTTATTTTGCTGTTATTACCAAAACAAATAACTCTCTAACTGATTAAAGCCAGCATTTATGTTTCTATAACGTTACCAAATGTTATGAAAACAGATGACCCTCCCCCCCCCCCCCAATATCAATCCCTTTTCGTAACAAAGTCGTGATTTTTTAAATCCCGTCTTTTGTTTGATGGACGCAGTTAAGGTTTCCACGGAGTCAACCTCTCACACGGAAACCATCAACGGCTCTCATGAATTCAAAATCAGCGAATACTCTCTGGTGGAAGGGATGGGTGTAGGCAAATACGTCGCTCTGAAACCTTCTTGCTCGGTGGATACTCCTGGCTATCTACTTCCACCCAGATGGGAAGAGTCCTGAGGATAACTCTGTGTATGTGTCTCTCTTCATAGCTCTCACGAGCAGATGTAAGAGCTTCTATTTGAGCTGACACTCTTGGATCAGATTTTGTGAACGGCATAAGGTTCATAGCCATTTCGGGAGGACTTTTGAAAGTGGACAGTATATTCTTAAGAACAGAGGAAGTATGTGGTGAGTTTATCAAAGTATAGGAAGTATGATATATGTCTAACGTATCTTCTAGATACGATACTTAGAACTCTTTCCTTATTGTGAAAGGAAACTCTGTTGTATATAGGCTTGACCTTGTATTACGTTAATAACACAAGAGATTACACAAGATTTCATGGTATCAGAGCATAAAATTCTTTGACCTAAAATCTTAACAACTGCCGCCGTCGCATCTTTGCCACCGCCGCCGTTGTCTGAAAGTCACCGCTGCTAGATAAGCCGCCGTCACTCTTCTTCATATCTCTGTCTTTTACCAATACTCTACGATGAGTGGTCCAGCTGGAGCAATCACTACTGCTGCTGCGCCAAATCCTCTTCTTCTACTGCATCCTTCTGATAACCCTGGAGCGTTAATATCCTCCGTGGTGTTGAAAGAAGACAACTATCCAGAGTGGGCAACCGAGATGAGAAACTCTCTCCAAGCAAAACGGAAACTGGGCTTCATCGATGGAACCCTCACGAAACCAGCTTCTGAACCGGATCTCAGTCTATGGCTTGCTGCAAATTCTATGATCATAGGATGGATCCGATCCTCCATTGATTCTATGATCTCAGCTCACGCTCTCACGCCTGCCTCCTCTATATCAAAATCCTCATCAACGGTCTCTGGTAAAGTTCTATATCCCATTAAACAATGTCTAACTGATTCTGGTTTTTCAGCAAACCACATCGCCTTCATGGCTGCAGTCCTAGACAGCACGGAACCGAAATATTTTAAGGATGCAGCGTGCATTAAAGAATGGTGTGAAGCAATGCAGAAAGAAATTGAAGCTCTCGAGGCAAATCATACTTGGGATATAACAGACTTGCCTCCAGGCAAGCGCGCTATCAATTGTAAATGGGTGTACAAGTTGAAGTTCAACGCAGATGGCACACTCGAGCGCTACAAAGCTCGATTGGTAGTTTGTGGAAACCGACAGAAAGAGGGTACTGATTTCAATGAGACTTTTGCTCCGGTTGCTAAAATCACCACAGTCCGTTATCTTCTAAGTGTTGCTGCTGCGAAAGATTGGGAAGTCCATCAAATGGATGTTCACAATGCATTTTTGCATGGTGATCTCAGTGAAGAGGTTTACATGAAGCTTCCGCCAGGTTTTAAGTCTTCGGACCCAAATAAAGTTTGTCGCCTCAGAAAATCTCTATATGGTCTCAAACAGGCCCCTCGTTGCTGGTTTGCCAAACTTTCTACAGCTCTCCGGCAGTTTGGGTTCAAGCAAAGTAAGGAGGATTACTCACTCTTCTCTTACACAAAAGATGGTAAAATCTTACACATTCTCGTGTATGTGGATGATTTTATTCTTGCTGGTAATGATCTTGATCTGATTGATCGCTTCAAAGTACATCTCAACGATTGCTTTCACATGAAAGATCTTGGTAAATTGAAGTATTTTTTGGGCATTGAGGTTTGTCGTGGTCGTGATGGGTTTTGCCTTTCTCAGCGCAAATACGCGCTCGATATCATCTCAGAGGCTGGCTTGTTGGGTTGTAAACCATCTGCTGTTCCCATGGAACTCAACCATAAACTTGGCTCTGTGGACAGTCCTATCTTTGCTAACCCAGAACAATATCGTCGGCTAGTAGGTCGGTTTATTTATTTGACGATCACAAGACCAGACTTGAGTTATGCAGTACACATATTGTCCCAGTTCATGAAGACGCCATTGATAGCACATTGGGAGGCTGCTTTGCGACTGGTCAGATATCTTAAGGGCTCGCCAGCCCAAGGCATCCATCTTCGCTCGGACAGTGACCTCACTATCACTGCGTACTGCGATTCCGACTGGGCTGCCTGTCCAATAACTCGACGTTCTCTGTCTGCGTACATTGTTTACTTGGGAGACTCTCCTATCTCTTGGAAGACAAAGAAGCAACAAACGGTTTCTTGCTCCTCTGCTGAAGCTGAATATCGCGCCATGGCATACACACTTCGTGAGATTAAGTGGCTTAAAGCACTCTTAAAGACATTTGGTTTTGATCATTCTCATCCGGTTCCTCTACACTGTGACAGTCAAGCTGCTATACATATCGCTGCAAACCCAGTCTTTCATGAGCGAACTAAACATATCGAAGCTGATTGTCATCAAGTTCGAGACGCGGTCCAGGATGGTATTATCGCTACCATACACATTTCCACCAAAGATCAAGTTGCTGACCTATTTACTAAAGCTCTCCCAAGACCAACTTTTGAAAAGCTTTTGTCCAAGTTAGGTGTACGAAATTTCGTATCACCTACTTGAGGGGGGGTATAGGAAGTATGATATATGTCTAACGTATCTTCTAGATACGATACTTAGAACTCTTTCCTTATTGTGAAAGGAAACTCTGTTGTATATAGGCTTGACCTTGTATTACGTTAATAACACAAGAGATTACACAAGATTTCACAAAGTGTCATCCTTTTTGTCTCTTTGACATTGTAGTGATGTGTTTATATGTTTACTTGTTGATTTTAGGGGATACAAACGGTTTCTCAAGAGGTCTCTTCTTTAGTCACCTGACTCTTTTGGAAGGATACTTGTCTGTTGGTTCCGTGTTGTGTTGGGCTTGTGAAGTCATGTACAGAGGGACCAAGGAGTTATAATATCCCTGTGCCGGTTTCTGGCTTTGGTCATCAGTTTGGAAAGCTTTTGGAAAGTGGGAGAGGAGTTGATGTTACTTTCCATGTTGATGGAGAGACTTTTCTTTCTCATAAACTGGTTCTTGCAGTTGCAGCTCGTTCTCCTGTTTTCGGAGCACAGCTTTTTGGCCCGTTGAAAACCCAAAATACTAAATGCATTAACATTGACGCTCCCATTTTCAAGGTCCTTCTTTTAGCTCTCTGCTGGTTTGGGTGTTAATAAGGTCATTCTATAGTTTTTTTCATATTCTGCTTTGTTTTGCAAGATGTTCCTATATGCAAGACGTTATGGGGACAGACTTGAAATGGGCGGGCGGCGACTCTTGTGGCTCAGCATCTGCTTGCTGCTGCAGACCCGTATGCCCTTGAGCGGCTTAGAACAATCTGCGAGTCACAACTCTGTGAAGGAATTAGCATCAACATTGTTGCAACCACCTTGGCTTTGGCTTTGGCTTTGGCTTTGGCTTTGGCTTTGGCAGAGCAGCATCATTGTTTCCAGCTGAAAACTGCATGCCTCAAATTCATAACTTTGCCAGGATATCTTTAGGGTAAAACGAACAAGAATTTTCTTCTTTTTTTGCTTGAGTTATCAAATCTTGAAATCTGAAACCTCTTTTTCATTTTTTTCTTGCAGTTTCTGTAGCTGTGATGGAAACGGACGGGTTTTTGATTATCTTAAGGAAAGCTGCCCTTGCTTACTAAGTGAGCTGTTAGAGTATGTTGCTAGGCTGAGTGAGCTTTCTTTACCATCATCAGGGAATGGGAAGGAGTTATATATGTTGAGGCCTGTGACGTGAATGGGAGCCGAGTGAAGCAACTAACTCTGAGGGAGAGTGACGGAGACAGTTGGTAAAACATAATTGTAGAAGAGTCTTGATTTGTGTATTTGTCATTTGTAAAAGGATCAGTGATTGTGATTTGTGTTGTCCAGTAAGTAGAGTAAAATTGTGTGTTGGCCTCAAAAGATCTAACTACTCTCAAGAAAAAAGGTTTCATACGACTTGCCTTGCTAGTTGCTTCTAGAATATTTGATTACAAAAGTCACTAAGCTCTCATTTGAAGGAGTCTAACTATCCTATTAAACAAGAAACAATTCACATCAACCATTATTCTCAATCAGATTGCCTCTCCTTTAGATTGCAACAAGAAAATAAGCTATTTTGGACTAATGGCCTCTTCTTTAGGCTACGAACAAGACTTCCATGCTGTGTTACAAATACATTAGTCTTTTTTTTCTCTCGTTTCAGAAATTAACAAGTGCATTCGTTTTTGTTCTAAAGAGAGGTTTTATAACAATTGCATTTTTTGTGTATCTTTTTGCTTAGAGAATATGATACTAAGAACTCAGAGCATCTCTTGTAGTCTCAAACATTTCAGCTTGAAAACCAATTTTATACAAAGACTTTTTACAATATGGAATCAGGACAAAACCCGTGTTTCTATCATCATTACCAGTGGACACACTCTACATCCTTTCAATTCTTTGATAAGAATCAACCATCAACTAGGCTTCTATAAGATCCATCACGACTTCATTTGATGAGGAGGGCGTGGGAGGATGGAAATCGCCAGCTCTTGGTTCACCTTCACTGGGAGAGGTGGCATCTGCTTCATAACCTCTGGCAAGTCATTCAAGCTGCAAACACAAGTGTTCAAACAGCAAACCAAGTAAAAGATTTGAGTTTACAAATGGTATTTTCCCAAAGAGTGCTAATGATGACATAGAAATGATATACGATTAAATGATATTTACTCGTTCAAGATTGCGAGGATGTTGTCGCTAGCTTTGCACAAGCTATTGACGTACTCATGTATCTGCAAAGTACACATTTGGATAACAAGGAATACTCAAAAGCCAACAAATCAAAATCCAAAAAGATGGAAGTTGCACTCACCTGGAAAGCTGAGAAATTTGATGAAAAATCCAAAATCCAAAATCCAATCTAGATGATTAAAGCCTGAAAAAGACATTAACTAGATTCTTGGAAAAAACCGAACCTTTATATGAAATGCCATCATCAGTATCTAATGGCATCATAGGAGGAGCATATGAAGGACCATTAGGATGGACATTCAAATGAGATGTGGACTTGGTTGAAGAATCCGAAGTTTTTTTACTGCCAAACAGATATGTGAAAGAGATTTGATATAAACAGCTTCCATATGCACCATACAAAGATCCAATAATTTCTACAAGAATAACTCTTATCAGACTGCTTAATGTAGGGAAGAGTACGTCTTATTAAGGGTTTGAAGAGAGCTCATGTTGTCAATGTTGGTGCCACTCCTTGGCTGACTAGGTCTCTGCAAGAGGTTCACTTGTACAAAAACGTGAAGTTGTTGGATTGTCCTGGTGTTGTGATGCTCAAATCTTGTGTTTCTTACGCAACTGTAAAAGAACTGAGAAGTTGAAAGATCCAACTAGTCCAGGTAGTTGGAAAGAGTGCAAATCATTTATTGAAATGGATGATTGGTTTTATATGATATTAATTCCATCACTTAAATTTCTCCATTTTCACTAACACGTACAAATGACCCCTATCCAATAAGTTGCTAGGGAATAAGAGGGATGAGAATTGGGGAATACAGATCACATGACTTGATAAAAGAAAAAAAAAAGAAAAAAACAAACCAAATTAGATGAGTAAAATCTAAGGATTCGTCTAAACATAAGCAAATAATGGTTATACTGATTTATATATAACTAGTGGTTTTCCCGGGCTATTCCCGGGTTTTCTTATATAAATTTTAGTTTAATTTAATTTATTATATTAATTTTGAATATATAATACCTATATATCGGTTTTTAAAAATATAAATCATAAAATGAAGTTTAAATTATTAAATTGTAAACGAACTAATATTGACAATAGATGTTATATGTTTCTGTTTTAATTATGTTAATAATTTAAATAAATTTACATGATATTTGATCAAAAACTGTAATGTCTGTATGGGATTGTTTGATGAACTACTTTTTGACAAATTGATGTATTTAATAATGTCTTTGTATAGGTAATTGTTTTATTATTCAAACTTCTGATAATGTCTATTATAGTATTTTTTAATAAAATTTTGTTTTTGATGTTGAAGCGGTAATATTTTTCTCCAATTTACTGAACAAAAAGCAATAAAATATCACACCTCATAATTTAAATTTATATATTTATATTTATTAGTTTTGTTTAGAATTTTTTTAAAAATTTGAAAAATATTTATATATTTATTTTTGCCAACAATCGTATATTAAAATAGTGTATATTAAATTTTGTAATATAATCATTCATAACTACAATAATGTTACTACACTGAATCTATAATACTTGATAGTTTAAAAAAAATTATATACTAAACCTTTTGTAAGCTTACATGCATTACAGATGCTTGCATGACATTTTGATAATTAATACAATTTTGATTCTTGAATAATAATAGTAAACATGTGATAACATTTGGTGGGGGTTATTGATTCCACTATTTTAATGGATTTAGAAAAAAATTTGGATTTAAAAATATTTGATAAATCATATGATTTAAAATCGAGCAAATAGATTTAAGAATTAAAGATATTGATTTCAAAATGAAATTAGCTTTTTACAAAAATCAAGGATATCCAAATCTTAATAAATCATATGATTTTAAAATCGAACAAATAGATTTAAGAATCAAGAATGTTGATTTCAAAATGATTTTAATTTTCTTTTCGTTTTTTTTGTACTTTCGGTTTTAGAATTGTTGTGTAATTCAGTTTTTCTTCGTTTTGGTTTGACTCTTGTTGGAACTTTTTCTTTTCTTTTAAATTCTCATTTTACGGAAATCTTTTGGAAATCAAGGATATTGATTTCAAAATGAAAATAGATCTAAGAATCAAGAATATTGATTTTTAAATTGAACAAATAGATTTAAGAATCAAGGATATTTATTTAGATATTTCATATTTAGAGATATGAAAGTTGTCATCCATCTTGAAGAATAGGTTGAAAGTGAGAAAGTTTTTTTTTTTAATTTACTGGACTAAAAAAATTTATTAAAAATCATATCATTTGTAAAAATCAATAAAAATTCAAATAAAATAAAAGATTTTATAATTGGACCTAAAACACTTTCAACAAATGATAGAATGAAAAGTATCATGTTTTGCTTCTATGAAGAGAAAAATCTCTACTTTATTATATAAGAGATGTATAAATATTGATTTTAGAAAAACTTTAGAAATATTTTATAAATAATAAATCATATATCTCCATTACAATATAAATGCATATATAATATTAATAAAAATAAACTAAATATAAGTACAACGTAAAATAAAAAAATTGGATTTAAAAATATTTGATAAATCATATGATTTAAAATCGAGCAAATAGATTTAAGAATCAAAGATATTGATTTCAAAATGAAAATAGTTTTTTACGAAAATCAAGGATATCCAAATCTTAATAAATCATATGATTTTAAAATCGAGCAAATAGATTTAAGAATCAAGAATGTTGATTTCAAAATGATTTTAATTTTCTTTTCGTTTTTTTGTACTTCCGATTTTAGAATTGTTGTGTAATTCAGTTTTTCCTCGTTTTGGTTTGACTCTTGTTGGAGCTTTTTCTTTTCTTTTAAACTCTCATTTTACGAAAATCTTTTGGAAATTAAGGATATTGATTTCAAAATGAAAATAGATCTAAAAATCAAGAATATTGATTTTAAAATCAAGCAAAAGGATATTGATTTCAAAATGAAAATAGATCTAAAAATGGTTTTTACAAAAACTAAAAACAAAAACCAAAATCTTGATTGGGTAAAAACTAGTTTTTACTATATACTGTCAAGCAGTTGACTATATACATCAATTATATTATTCAGTACTAATGTATCCCTTACTATATTTTCAAATCAAATATAAAAAATACAGAAATTGGTGAGATTGTCCCTAAATACACCTCATATTTGTCATCTAACCTTCCAAAATAAAAACTATTTTGTCTGACTATTATACCCCTATCTCATTCTCTCTCTCTTCTCTTCCCTATCTTCTAATCTCTTTATCTCTCACACATGACATATTTATGCTTTCATTTTTTCATCATGAATCTCTATTTTTTACTCTGATTCTTTTGACACCCATATTGCTAATGTTATTATCTCACACTAATTCTATTATTTCGAATTTCAAATCTTGAAATATACATTCTTTTATTTGGATAATATGTAAGTTAGCAGTTATTTCATTATTTACCCGTTATTATTATATTTTAATGAATTTGTAAATGATACATAGAGTGTTAGCTGTTACAAATAGGATTACGGCTATTTAATAGATAATTGATTAGCGGTTAATATATATATTTTTATGATAATAGTATTGTTAACATGCTAACCTGTTAGTTAGCGATTTATTTAACACATTAATAAATAGACGTAACCCGATAACAAAATTTGTAGCATGTTAAAATTTTGTCAATTTGCTAACAATTTTTATATCATGTTAAATTGATAAATATCTCTTAGTGTTCAGTTAACATAATGTGTATCCGCTAAATCTAGAGTTACATATTTTCGATAAAGTAAAAGGGCATTTTCGTCCGCACAGTGTCAAAAGGTTACTCCTTTTTGGATTATCCACATCCATGGACATTCGACCAATTTGGATCTTCGTTAGGTACATTACACCAATTGTCTCTAAAAAATAATTGGACATGAGAAGAACCGTAGGTGCCATTTTAATCGTGAACCGGAATAAGCCGTTCTTCAGCTAATTTAAACCGCCGGTACACATCTTTAAGTCCAAGAATAAACCGTAGGCGCCATTTTAATCGTGAACCGGAATAAACCGCCGATAAAAACCATAAATTAAGACCTAAGGGAGAGTCACTCTCCGAGAGTGAGGGATTTGACTCAGAAAAAGAAAAGAAACGAAAAGAGAGAGAGAGAGAGAGAGAGTACTCAAAACAATCCGAGAGAGGCGGAGAACAAAAACCTAATTTCTCGTCATGCGGAGATTTGTCGTTAGGAAGGTAATCAAACTCGACATCTATCTTTCTTACAATGTTGGTTCGTAGCGCTCAGTGCGGTACTGACATATCTATATATGTACAGATCGAGGGAAACTTCTCACGTCTTTTGCTACCGTTTTGGTCGAGAAGCTGATGTAGATAAATATTTGAGTTGTGCAAAAAGAAATTTTTGAAGATTCAAGATATAATCAGATCCGTGCAAAAATCGTGCAGTATCAAGTTTTTGGAAAATTTCTGGAGATTCTGAGATGTGCGAAATTCGTACAGATTTCTGATATTCTTATGCCAAGAACGATATTGAAGATTCGAGGAAGAGTTTTTCTTGGAAAATGTTTTAGATCCAAAGATTACGATCAAGATTCGAGGACGAATCTTCTCCAACCCGGAGAGAATGATGTAGATAAATATTTGAGATATTTCCAAATATTTATTATTTATTTAACAAGATTCGATTAAATTCATCTTCTTCAAGAAGTTGGTCTCAAGAAGCTAACGAAAGTAACTCTTGATCGATCCAAGAACAGGTCTCGAAGAACCCTAAATTCTTAGATCGACCGTTCAACCTATCTATGGTTTTATGGTTTTCATATATATAGGCTTCTTATGCCTAGAGTTGTATTTAGTTGATTGATTATTAATAAAAGAAGCTTTGCTTTATACCTTGATATAGATTTGATTCAATTCATCTATTTTAAGTTGCCTTAAACAAGATTCGATCCGCTACATCAGAAGCCAATTCTCTTCTTCTGGAGGAAAGTCTGGAGATGACGATGACCAAATATTCATGAGTCCAAAAAGTAAGTTTTTTTTCTCTCTCTTTGTTTTCTCTCTAATAAAGATATCTAGTCCGAGTTTTCTCTCTTGTACAGCTTGCTAGAGCTAGTCTCGAAAAACTCTTAAAAGGTTTTCTCTCTTGTACATGTTGCTATTTTAGGAGCTAGTCTTGAAAAGATGAAGGAAGGAGGTATTGTCACTATGACTTTTACCAAAGAGCTGCTTCATCAGGCTAATAAACTAGTCAGAAACGGATACGATCCGAGTTCGGTTATCTCGGGCTATGAGAAAGTTAATAACTTGGTTAGTGTTCATACTATTATGATAATTTGCTCATTTGCTAAACTCTTAAACTACTCTTTATGATATTTGTTCTTTATGATATTTGTTTATTTGCCAGGCGCTCAGTGTTTGGGATGAAGTTATCGAACTTCACTCAAAGACTCATGATTTGACTAACAAAGAGTTAGTCAAGTCTTTACTTGGACCATCTTTGGCTGGAAAAGCCTATGGTCAGGAGCATTTCCTAGCTTCACTGTTAGCTGAGGTGATTTTAATTCAATGTTAGTTATGGAATCTTAATATTGGCTCTAACATGAGATTTTCTTTCTTGTTATTTTTTTGTAGGCTTGCATCAACATTTTACCATCTGAAGTCTCAAAGTTCAGCAGTGACAGGATTTACGTAATGAAGCTCTTGGGCCAAAATCTTGATGCATCTACTCTCATTGC